AAAATACATGAACGATCTAATTAAAGCACCACAAAAGAACCCATTGTGTGGCGCGACGTTGGAACAGAATTGAAACATCAAAGAACAGTTTGTTAATAAATGTATCGGAGAATCATCACCATCGAATCCACGGAACGAAAGTTGTTCGGAAACGGTGTTTTTAAGCGCGAATAACGGTGCGAGGACCACGACGACGATGATGTCCTCTCACCGTCTTGTATCTCTTCTGGGAATGAGGTGTAGAGTGGATGGATGGCCGACCGGTGGGAATGCGCGAGCCGTCGACACGACCAACGTAATTTGAACTTTGCCACCTGAAATGGACAGGCAGACAGAAGAAGGCGGAAGGAAACGGAACCAGGCTTCGGTGCACGCAAGAAGAACCGTTACGTCAAACACAATGGTACCATGGATTTGTTCCTGTGTGGAGTTAGAGGTGGAGGAGGAGGTGGTTCCACATATGATCCTCCGTTCAATCGTTCGCAAATAATAATCAACAATTGCGAGTCATCAATAATTCATTATCGTCGTTGTTTAGTCATCATCAATTTCATCGTAATCATCGGCGGCTTACAATAAATAAACGCTTCTGCTTGTTCTGCTCGGAAACGGCGGAGCGTTATTGGAAATGTCAATAGCGCAGCGACGTCACTACATTATAACTCATCGCATCGGAATGCGACTGTTTACACCCACTTTATATTAATAAGTCTAGGTACATAAACGAGCAACTAACTAACTCATACTTGTACTCGCACAATCGGCCTATTGATAGAGCCCAAATAACTATTAAATCGAGATTTGCATCCTTGAATCGCAGCATAAATTGATCGAAAAGGCCAAGCTCCAACCAGTTAACAACAAATCAATCCACTGGACACATTATTAAAAGATACAAGAGCACAAACAAAATAATTCCATTGAACAATCCATTAACAATCAACTAGCAAGATCTAGTCAAGATCACTTATAAGAAAAACTTCTAAATATTAAAATAGTTGATACAATAGATATTCGGTTAACGCACACAGTCCGTTCGTTCGCATCCTCTGAATTACTACATTTACCAACAGAATCTAAATATTAATCGTTCTCAAAATAGAAAGTATAAATCAATTTTTTGCTAATTTAAAAAAAAGCAGAAACTACGTTATTCAATAATATTATATAACTTTAGTCAGAATTCCACAGTCCAAAGAAAAAACACCACCTGGATTTTGTTGCCCCTTCAACCAAACAACAAAATCCAGTTTCCTTTCATTTCCATTAATCTCGAGTAACCAGACTAGACAGTACATTCCGAAGTTGCAATTCCTGTTTGAAGTAGTTTATATCCGAAAATACAGTCGCAGAATCCCAACAAACAGCATTTTTATCAATACTAGACGTTTTTATTGACCTGCTTTGTTAAATATAGAAAAAGCGTTTAAAATACGCTGAATGAAAGCATTGAAATTCTGACCACCAGGTAGTTTTTTTTTTCTAAACATTCCAGGTTTTCTTTCATTTCTCCTAATCTCAAACCGAGCGAAGTAGTTGATATTAACGTTGATAACACAAAATATCTACAACTGATAAAAAAGAAAGTAACGCAATGCTAAATTATATTCGTTCTCAAAAACTTATAGTCAATATCACCGGAAATTATTAAGGATGCAAGTCATTATTACACTATATCCGTTTCTTTTGACTTGACGTATTAATGAAAAGGTGTTAATTTTTAAAATGGTTATAAAATAGTTCATTGAAACGCATTTCGAAATGAATTCTCGAAATCTTAATTATACCTGCAACTAATAATCACAGGTATTCCATAAATGCAATCCTGGTATACGTTATCATTTAGTCCATTATCTTGCAGTTTCGTAAACGTTTAATGTAGGTTAATTCCTAGAAGTGGGTTAAACGTATATCAAATATTTGTATTCTAAATTTACTACTTTAGCAAAAACAAGTTGTTTCATATTGCTTCCAATTCTTTAATAATTGCTAACATTGAAAAAAAAAACATGTTAAAACTAGTATTTTAGTCAATGTAGTTTCGTATATCTAAGTGGGCCACATATTAAAAAAAAATAGTTACGTGATGCATAATGAACGCATCTAATTAAAATATAAATTCTTAACATGTCGTCATGGAAAAAAACACTATGGCTACAGCAATATCACGTAACCATGACTACATTTATAGTGCCTACTCCTAGTTTCCATGGATTCGTCGTATTTAAAAATATTATTACGTTCAACAAGTTGAAGGTAAAGCACTTAAATAAGAAATTTCAGTAGGTTAAATGCAATTAATTTTGATAAAAAGAAGTACTATTATTCAAAAAATAACTTAAAATCTAAATTTAGAATAATAACACTTGTTTTTTGGCTCCGTATTATAAGTATAATATGGATGCAATAACTATAGCTATTAATTTTACTACTGCACTACTCCTACAAATATCGTAGGTGTTGAGTGCATTTCGCTCGAAGCCCATTTCTATGGTAATCCGTGGTTAAAGAAATGTGCAACGACTTGAGGAAGAACAAACTAAAAAAAGAATTATCCCACGATTTCTTTTCAACGATTCTAGTAAACGTGATACACTGTTAAAACGGGCCGTCGTGCGAGTGAAAGCACCACACCATAAGGACAAACTATGTTAATTTGCTGTATTTATTATTTTCGTTAAGACTTAATGTCTTCTAGAATGAAACAGAAATTGCTGTGAAACATTTAAATGTAACTACTTTTTTTCTGCATCACTTAACGTTCACTGGCTGTAATTATAAAGAAATGGTAATTAAGTAATTCAACACTAATTCTTATAATTCACCAAATAATTAATTAAAATACAAATAAATGTTTTATTTTATGTTATTACTTTATTATTATAATTACAAAATTGTACAGACAAAAGGACGATTTTCTTTATATTTTATTATAATAATACTGAAAATAATATATACTTTCATGATTTTGGCCGTTATTTATTAAGGTCAGTATTTTTAGCCATTTTTAGCAATAAATTACAAAAAATGCTCAGTATTTTAAATAAATTTGTAAGTATTTATTAAAAAAAATATAACATAAACTAAAAATGTGACAACCTAAACTAAAAATAATAAAGTACGCCACGTCACTGATGAATATATAGTATAAAAAAATAGAAAATGCGATTTAATACTTAAATTATTTACAGTGACGATTTATGTTACAACACAAAACTTAGCATCAATTAATTAAAAATACGGACAAAATAAATTAAATTGTCAAGATTTTGACATGACGAATAATCTACATATTTATACTGTGCAAATTATGAATCTAAATATAAAATTATTTATTTTATTTTTGTGAATGTAAGCTTGAAAATAATCAAAAACCACAGGAAACCGAAATACATCGCGATGAAAATACGTAATGTTCTCTGCAACTTGTTTGTAAGTTTTTTTTTGTATTTCCTTCTCCGTCTCTTTTCCTTTTTAATGGATAAATTAAAACCTAGTTTTCCTTGCTTGCTGTGCTGTGTTATGAAGAAGAAACTTGTTTAGGAAAACGCTTCGTTATTCGCGACGAAACCGCAAATCGGTTACGCGATTGGGTCAAAGGCAATTACGGGTGTGTCAATGAGTTATGATGGAGTTTAGCAAATATGCGTGCTTGTGACATCAGTGAAAACAGAAGCAAACAACGTAGGTCATCCATTTTGGGGACAAATAGAGCGATTAATACAGTAACGTTGTTCATCTTGTGTTTGGTCATCGCGCGGTATTTATTGAACACACAGTTCACATCTGTACATTACATCATAATACGTTTGTTATACCACAAATTAAAAAGTAATTTCTCACTGGAATCGCCGTCAGCCATTGATTGACGATTCATTAATTATGCTCTGAATAAAATTATTTATTATATTAACATTGAGACAGGAACTAATTCAATTTTACATATCTTTTATAACATTCATGATTTGCAAATGCCTTAAGTATTTCAGACAGTGAATGTACACGTAATTAGAAGATTTCAAGTCATCATTTCTGCATTATTACATTGTTAATGACAGATTAATAATAAGTCTCTCCGTTTCTAGTATTACGTTCAATTAAGAACACAATATTAGTATATACCATTGATTAATACGAAAGAAACCCGCTGCGAGAAGATTGGCCAAGTATATAAGCTTTAATTACAATTGTTGGAGAGAAATGATGAAGGTGGATGTTTCTTGCCGATTAATGAAAAGAATGAATGATAAATGTTATTTACAGATAATAGTTTAAGTTCTGTAATAGTACTTTCCATTGAATTTTGCTGATCTTTTTTTTTCTTTCACGTAACATACAAAATATTCTATTTATGGGTGTCCCATTGAGGAATGAAGACGCGATTTTTGCTTTTTGTTCAGTTATATTCCGATCCAGGCCAGCGGCGTCGGAAACAAGAGCCGTCGTCGCCGCCGCCGCCCACGAAAGCCCTCATTTCAGAAAAGTTAATTAAAATCCCACAGGCTATCATTGTGATCACGTTTGGATGAAGCTCATACATTATTGTTTTTTGCGTTGTGTGTGTGTTTTGCTAGGAATTCAAATAGACCGCTCGTCCTTTTTGGTAATAATTGTTAACAGCTAACAGGTTTCCTCGAATACAAAAAAATGAAATGTGTTTCGTTTGGCGAAAGGAGATTGTACCATCCGCGTCCGTGGGTGGATTTTTTTCACAATATGTTACCTCTTCTCCTCCTCCTCGCATACCGGTACTTTTAGAGTTTCTTCATATTGATGAGACAATAGATATAATGATTTGAGATGATCAAGAATTTTGTTGACCGTGCATAGAATGATTAGTGCGTGGAATCTAATTCGCTTTGCTTGCATGTTTTACTCTGCAAAATAGGTAAGATATTTCTTGGCCTTGGAGATAAAACAAATGACATAAATATATGTGTGTGTGTATGAGCATAAAACGATTGTTAGCGCGCTGTTCCGTCCGTGACTCTCTCACTCACCATTTCTGGAAACGTCCAATTCGACGAGGTTCTCGAAATTTTGAATGTCCGAGGGTAACCTGTGTATCTCATTATCACTTAAGCCGAGTTTCCTGAGGCGGTGCAGTCGGAAGAAGTTCTGAAATGCGTAAGGAATGAGTGAGTGAGTGATGAAGGTGGACGAACGGATCGTTGTGTTGTCCGTAAGCGTCTCTTACCTTCGGAAGATCGCGTATGTGGTTCGCATCCAGGAGCAGCTCCTCCAGGCTCCTGGAGTACCTCAGGATGTCCTCTGGGACCGTTGGTAAAGAGCAGTGGCTCTTATCAATGCATTCGACTTGTCTATTGCAGCCTTTGAAAATAGGCATGCACCGGAACATCTCGGCACATTAACTTCCAGCACTCTCGCTCTATCTCACCTCTAACTTGCCCACAGAACCAGAAGGAACATCATTCAACAAAACTCGCGAACGCCCGCCAAACACTAGAAGAACAACTGAAACTCTAATTCATGAAACTGAAAATACTGCTTCTAAATGCTCGCTGTATCTCTATTGGATGGATGGACTGGTATATGTATGTGTCTACTATACAGCGGGCACCCACAACACCCGTGTCTACAACTACGAACGACGACACCACTCACTCACTCAGCAACGCCACTCCTGAAACTACTTTCGCGAACCCGCGAGCTGTATGTCCAACATGGATTCTAGTTTGGATCCCAGGGAATCTACCTTACCCACCGCATCCAATGATGCCATCTATCTAACAACCAACTAACGCAAACCCTTATAAGTATTTAATCATCACTATTGCCACCCTTATAACAATTCACACTTAATATTTGTTCTCATAAGAAATATTAACAAGCCTCATATATCATTTCTTTATGAAACAACGACAATTTTGCATTAACCAATAGGATAATAGGCAACCCACAGTGTTTATCATAATTGTATCTACTACAATTTAAATACTAACTTAAAATAAAGGTTTTTTCTTTTATATTCAAATGCTTTTTGTGACTCAAGTAAATTTAAGAAACTCAAACTCACTTAATTTATTTATACATAATAGCTTTGTTGATCTACGGACTTTACTAACCATGAAAACTAACAGATTACTTCAAAATATACGGTAAATAACCAATAAGTGAAAACTCTGAAGGTAAAGTTGCATAAATTATTACGTTATTTTAGTTATTATGCAATTTGTGATACACGGTTGTATAAAAAAAACACTTTGTTTACATTTCTCAAAGGAAATATAAGAAACTGGCACCTCATGTGCTGTAACTAAATAGTAGTGAGTATGTAAATGTTTTGTTTACTTATTGATTTCATTTGGTTGTATTTTGTGTGCAACAGGTATTTGGTAAATAAACATGTGTTTTTCTTAAATAATCAATCAGAAAAGTAAACTGTAAAAGGTAACAGAAGCAGTAATCACTAAGATATTTTTGTTACGTGGAAATTCGTAACCAAAAAATATTGATGCAATTATGAAATTATAACAATACTTATCATTGAAATGAACGAAGAAGATGAAGAAAAAGCGCTTTAATGATTAGTGCTTAATATTGGACTCTACATATCTCTAATATCATTAATCTGATATCTTTATAAAACAATATTTTAGATTTCTGGCAACAGAAGTTTTATGGAATGTACTGACGCTTTCAGTTTTTTCAGAAATATTCTAGTGAGGTTTGCTGAATTAGACAAATATCAAAGAATAGGGAAAATTTAAATTGTTTAATTTTTAGCTTCAGTTGGTAACCCTATTAGCAATAAAGATATCCTGAAATAAGAGTAGTAAATTGCTTCATCAGAAGCTATCTCCATAATTATTCTATTGAATTTTGTAGTAACTAAACTGATTCAATTGCAGGGGAATCCCTAAACACATTTCGTCTTAAGCAAATAAATGATTTGTTGTCAGTCATATGACAATGACAGTAAATAAAGCGGTAAAATTCGATTTAGCAGATCGTAAACATTGCAAAATTTTCATTAATTTAAAGTTGTAGCTTGCTGAACTTACAGATTCGTTTATATATGTATACGCTAGTTCATTCATAAATAACACTCTTGAAATGTGTATTTTGTAGTGGTCATTAATGCAATTCTTATTTGAATACTATGTAAAAATGATCGATTCCCGCCACAGTCCATTGTGTTTGATTGAGTCACCTGAATGTTAGGTTAACAGTTCGGTATTGTTATTACAAAATTGATATATAATTACATTATTACATAAATAACAATGCTGAATACTAATGACGATGACGATTTCTTTACGGCAACAAGGTAAGCGCAGTTATAACATGACGTTGAATTCAATGGAATCTGTTATGTAAAAAAAAAACAATAAAAATGTATGTATCAATCTCTACATAGCAAAGAAATTTGTAGTGCTTCCAATTTAGCCAATCTATTCGGGACAGCGCCAGGTGCAGACGCCAGCGCGACACTCATTTACACTGCACCCAAGCAGCCAAAGGTCCCTGAGCCTCCAGAGAGTAGTAAACAGAAGGTTCAGAACAAGCTGATCTGTGTAAAAACCATACAACTGTACCATCTGTGAGTTTGAGATTTTGGTGGGTTACATCCAGTAAAACGTTTATTTAAGGGTTGAAACCGAATTCGCGCATCTGGGCAAATATGGGATTGCAATAATTGGGGATTCCGTCGCCAATTCGTATAATTTAATTGTGTACAAGACTAAGCAAAATATAATAAGCAGCAGTAGTTTGAACAAGAATTTCGTTTATAACGAGCAGGAGTGCGTCGGTTCATTTTGCGATGATTGGAAGCAGACGATGCGCGTGCATTTCGACGATCTGAAGGATTCCAAAGACTTTTCGCAGGAGCTGACCAGAGTCGGAGTTCAGGTGAAAGTTATCAAGATGGATTTGGAGGATGGTAACGACTGCATGTCGGATAGTTCCGGTGCTCAGGCTAGGGCTAACATTCTGGATAGGATATCGAAAGTTGGGCAATCGATACTGCCGAACTCGAAGAACGTGGATTTAAGCGAATCCGAGATTGAGGATGTAGTCAAAGCAAAGCGACCTGTCCGAAAACAGAAGAGGCATTCCATTTCGGAGAAAGATAGCATTCCCGAAAAGGTATTTTTTTAAATTAGTTTCGATCGATTAAATTGGAGGATTTGATTTTTAGAACCATTCGGATTTGCAAGAGCCTAGCAATCAGCAGTTCATGGTGCCGGTATCGCAGGCTCCAAGCTACCAGCAGCAGCAGTACATGCTGCTCAATGGTCAGTACGTGCCGAGTAATATGATGCAGCCAAACCAAATGATGATGCCCACTCAGATGATGCCTCTGAATGATCCTTTTAACATATACTTCGCGGAGAGCAGGAGCCACAATAGCGAGGTTCGCATGAACTTAACGCAGCTTTCGAATAAGTTGGAGACGATGATGTCGGAAATAACCAAAATGAACGTCACTCCGAGTTTCTCGGAAACTGATTACTTGCACGAGAAGATCAAAGAGTTGGAACGGAAGCTGACGCACTTGTCGAAAGGCGATTCGACTGAAGCGAGCGAGGCGAAAGCTTTGGAGTTGAAGCAAGCTAACGACGCTTTGCAAATAAACATCAATGAATTAACAGAGAATATCCAATCCAAGGATCAAATGCTTGAACTGCTTCAGAAAGAGGTGTCCACGCAAAGACTGAAGATCAAGGACCTCGTGGAGTTTTTCGAAGACAATAGAGATTCCAAGATGATCATTGTAGATTTGAACGAGCAATTGTCGAATTTGCGTCTAAAACAGGAGACTTCGGAAGTCAGATTGGAGGAGCTGCAGGAGGAGGTGGCGCAGAGCAATAAGCTTATTGAAAACCAAAAGTTGAAGCTGAAAGACTTCGAGGAGTATCATAAGAAACACGCTGGACCGGACAAACTGGAGGCGGCAAGGCTGGAAGAGCTGCAAACCAAAGCATTTAGTGACTTAGTGAAGGAGAGCATGAACTCCATGTATCAGAATATATTGGAGAGGATGGAGAACGGCGGTGCCGGAGATGTGAAGCGAGCGCTGATGCAGAACATGAAGAAGGCCACGTTTCAGATCATCGAGGGATACAATGAGAATCGAACCGGAAGCAGCAAGGGCGGCGGCGATTCCGGTCCGCCGCCCGTGCCTGAATTCGAGGTCACCGTTTGATGATTCCAAACAAAAAAAAAATGAAAGCACACCAACAGCAAGGACATATTGTGATAAGAAGTCTGTGAAATACTTTATTGGAAACTTACAATTAAATTATTGTTAATGCTAAGATTAAGATTTTTTTAGAGATAGCAAAGCATATCTGTATTGTCTTTTAAAATGTTTTTTATTATAAATCAAAATTATTTTATTCGTAACAAATATAAATTTATACATATTTTACAATTCGCGTATATATTCATAATAATAATCAATTAATTAATCCTATTAACCTTTATAAGTTTCCTCTGTTTCACATTATACACAGCTGGTGTTTGCCAAGTACATATGCCGAATACTTACATTACTTAAACAACTACATGTAATTGACAACTTGTAGAAGTACTCAAGAAGGCCAAGTTAGTACTTCCGGAAACTCCGTAGCCATACATCAGTGGTATTTAGGAAAACTACACGTCCCACACATGCAATCGAATACTACAAGTTACTTGGTAAGTATATATTTTATTATAAATCAAAATTATTTTATTCGTAACAAATATAAATTTATACACATTAATATTCGAGTATTCTTGAGCCCGGCTCGTTGCTATGAATTATTAAAGACTAAAAACTTTATTAATTCCATATTTGGCTCGTTTTCGGATTCATTTTAGATTTAAGAGACACAATTTTATATGATAAAAAAGGTAATATTAAATGAGTTTATAATTAAAAAGTAATAACATATACATATGGAATACAGCCAAAAAAAAAACAAGTAAGATACCAAATACTGTTCTTAAATGTAAAAATTGTTCATTTAAACTAAATATGATTGAAGTTTACAGTTCAAAATGTTTTTTCATGATTTTTGTCTCGATGTGCAATTGCATTTTCTCTACTTTACGTTTTTGCGTCTTGATATTATCTTCCAGAAACACCAAATCCTCGGGTTTATCTGAATTTTCTTCGCCAAAATTCTTATGGTTGGCATCTTTAATTGCTGCTTCTGCGTGCATTTGCCGTAACTTTAGCAATCTGTTCTCGTAATGCATCAACTCAATGCGCAAAGATTCTAGTTCAGCGGATGAAAAGTCGGTGCCTAGTGCGGCCTTCCACAGTCCCTGCACCTTGGGCTCCACAAAATCTTTGCTTTCCGGACCTTGCGCCGTTTTCCGTTCCAACTTATCGTAACTATCCTTCAGATGATTGTTGTGTTCCCTAAGCAACTTCGCTTTATCGACGTAAACCTTGCTTGGCAGTTCGTTATCCTGCCACCCCAAAGTATTGAATTCCTCTAATTTCAAATCAACTGAATCTACATAACAGAAAATCTATTAATGAATTTGTATATTTACAAACATTGTTATTACTTTCATGATGATCATCAGTATTTCCATCTTTAACATTAGCTAATAAAGAGTAATATTGATCGACTTTATCTTGATGATGATCGAATTCCTCTTTGAGCGCCGCCAATTCGGAGTCGGTAAATCCAGCGGCTTCCGCTTTTGACCACAACTTAATCAACTTCTTGTCTTTAAACAGGCTCTTATTTAAATAATCATCATTTCCTTCAGTGTCAGAAGAGTGCTCTTTCCTCCTGATTCTTCCATCCTCAAAATGCTCCAGCAACCCATAGAGATCCATAATAGTAAGCAGCTTCTTCCTAAGCTCAGCTTCCTTCAACCCATCTTTATCGCCGCCCTCAGACTTTAACCTTTTGAGGGTGAATTCCTCTTTATCATGGATTTTCAACTCGCTGTAGATCGACTTCAGTTTTGGCTCCGTCAATCGCTGAATACATGTTATTTACTTGCTGGGTCGTTACACTTGCAGTAGTACTTACAAGTTTGGCTTTGGTCCAGAGGATGTTTATCTTTTTCATCCGGAAAGGCGCATCCAAATCTTTCAATCTACTAATTTCTTCCGGCTTTTTCACGTTTGCTTCCTTCGAGTATTTATTAACGGCATTAGCGCTAAATACTAGAACCGCGAAAACCACGAAGAAAAGAGGTTTCATCTTGCACGCTGCTTTGATTCAAATTGCAAAGTCACCTATGAATGGCTGTCATTCATTGGTCAATTGACATTAGTCTTCATTAATCCTTTTTATATACGTAGAAGTAGTGTTAATACTTTGAAGATTCATGTGGAGATTGTAGTATTATTTAATTGTTCCAATCATGTTGCTGTGTGAGGGTCATCAAGAATAAGGTGGTTTATGTAATTCTGATGAATGTTGAGTGATTATTTTGTATTAAGTTTTGTTAAGTTTTAGGTCGTGCGAGGAGACCACACGGAAACCATCGAACGTGTTGTGGCGACACTGACTGGAATCGTAGCCATTATTTACTAGCGTGTTTATAACGTGAAATTCCATTTGACAACTCGAGAAAAATATCGGTGGAAAAACTTTCGCGATCGAGAAAATCCGTTCGCGCTCTCCACTGGGAGGACCTTCCAGGATGTTCGAGTGTCGGTCCACGAAGGAAATGCTTAAATGATCATCGCCGGCATCTAGATTTTCATCCACTGTCCATCATCGTTTCCCTCATATCTATACAGTGAAAATGGCGAGAGCCCATCATAACTTATGAACACCAGTAAATCTTTAATTATGATTTAATGTCACATAAAAAGTAAGTGAGCACAGAGATTCCACGCGGTCGGACACCTCGCAGCTGCGGCCCGCGGGCCTAGCTTCAGCCCGCCGAGATTCGATCGGGAGCCAAAAAAAATAAATAAAATAAATGGAACGCAACATGTTTGTTATTGTTTCATTTAAATGATGATACTGTAGCAGTTGCACTTATTACTAACGCACCATATTTTTTTTCCTCACGAGTCCACTAATAGGTGTTTATTTATCCAATTTAGACCCAATTATGAGGTGTTTACATAAGTGATTGCCTGTACACCATTTAATTGTACAACATAACAATTTATTTTACAATTTTCTTACCTCTGTTTTAGCTATCAGTCATGTCTAGAGGTTATGGTAAATACCGTCGGGGGAATTACCACAATGCCAGTTTCCAATTTGATAGTCTGTTTAAAGAGAATAGTAACAGGCCCTCGGCTGCTCGATCCACAGGAACTGTTGGCAAATGGGGCATTACATCTTTCACCAGTATTAGAACTATCAATGGTAAGCGTACATTTATTTTATCATTACATCAACTTGCTGAAAGTAATATACTTTTAGTACAATTAGAATGAAGGAAATTATTATCTAAATTATTAATACCAATAATATAAAACTTAGTACTTTATATAAAAAGATTGATTTATTTTTAAATGTCCTACATATGGACATTATATTAAGAAATGAACTCATTTGGCTTGATCTTGAAAACATTCATTTAAAGATTAATCATAAGTTTCCAATTAGTCATTTTGCTGATTTGAATTATAGAATATTTTCATTTTATCTAAGTATTATTTAATTAAATATGTTCATAATATTCATTTTAATATGTAAACGAAATTTTACTTTATTTAAAGAATAAACATATCTAATATTTCCATAAAAAATCATATATTTGTTATGAAAGTGTAAATGAACAAAATAATTTAAATACATCTATTATACACAGTACATAAGTTCCGGAGAAAACCGTGTAAATCAAAAAGTTACTTATTCATAACAAATTTGTTATGAAAATTGTTTTATTAAACAAATCAATAATTAGAAATATCAATATTTATGTAAATGAGAACACTGATTGAAATTAACTAGAAATTGTTTAATATTATGTTAAAACAAATCATTTATCTATTTCATGTTTTTTTTTAACCTCAATTTATGCTGCCTATGTGCTTTCAAGAGATTCTTCAATTAAGATTTAAAATCAATGTTAAATCTAATCGTTAGTGAGATTTTATGTAATCGCTAATATAAATGTTTGTTCAAACTTTATTGCAAGAACAAAGTTTACTTAGGTTCGTTAGTTTATAGCCTTGTATGTACACGGTATGTTAATTACAAGTTTCTAATTACTAGACCAATAACGAATATGCATAGAGAATTATTCTGTACTGGATGTAACAGGAAAATGCACTTAAGAGTTTAGACTGTTTATTGTAATTAGTAAATGTTATTTAACTGCAATTATATAACATATGCACTTATTACTGCATGTATAATAATAATGTTTATTTGTTTGACGAATATATACGATAATAAACGAGCAAAGCAAATAAATAAATGAATAATTGAAAATATCTACTGTACATTAAACAAACAAAAACATGGCGTATCGATTTTTCGATCGACTCTAATGAAGAATAGTTAAAAATGAATTAGTTATAAATCTAGTTGATCTAGGATTAGATTAAAATCAAGGATAGTAACATGAGTGTTTATGGTAACTCTAGTAAAAAGGTTTTATAATAAATAAATTACTTTTGTTTTAGGTTTAAGTCATGAAAATGAAAAGGCAGCAGCTGCTCCAGTTATCCAGGAGACCAGCGTGCCGAAGCCCAAGAAGTTCTTCAAGAGCAGAAACTCTGACAATCCGGAGCCTCAACAAACTTACAACGAGCGGTCGGATGTGTCGTATGGGAATCCAAGCAAGAAGGCTAGGGTGGAGAAGTCGCCGAAATCTACGTCGAAGCGGTTCTTCGGATCGAAATCACCGAACGAGAAAGCCGTATTGACAGCGAACAACAAGCGAGCAGAGAAACCTCCAATAGTGTTACGCATATATCGTGGTAAATCACAATTGGTCAGTGATTCTGATGAGTCTGAGAGCACGCCCACTCCTTCCTCCACGCCTGTACCCTCAACATCCACCGTAACTTCACCGAGAGCGCTGCGAGATTCTTCACAGAAGTCACCTAGTCACGGCAGGATCACCAGGTCCACGAGGCGGAGCATGCAGCAGGATCCCAGCAGCAGCCCCGCCACTGCCGACACCGCCATCGACTCGTTCTCATTATTCACTTCACCCAGGAACGATACAGACCTCTCACCACAGTACATACCAGCGGAGAAGTACGAAGTGGAGCGTAAGGCCATGTACGATAATTTGTTGGGCAATTTTGATCAGTCCCAGAACGTCGAGAATGAGTCTCCCAACATCGATTTACCCCCGAGAGAGACTACAGAGCAAATGGATGAGACCACGATCAAAGATGATAACGAACTATTCGCCGACGATAAAATATATAAAGAGAAGGAACCTGGTGACTCATCTCCTGTCCACGAATCAGAGTTCGATGAAGAGATGCACATAGACACCTTCTCTATTACAAATAACCAAGAGGTAAATGAAGATGTAGATCAGGAACAACATGAGTCAGAGGAGGAGCAGCAGGAGGAAATGCAAGATGAAGAGGTTGAAATGATGGAGGAGAGTATAGAATCGATTTCCAAGGAAATCCATCAAGCTCCAGTTATGGACGAACAACCCCTCGAGGAGGACGAAGAAGAAGAGGAAGAAGATGAACCTGAAGAAGTTCCGGCCGCTATTGAAGAGCCTGCGAGTAATCTGAATAACTTAGAACAAGTCGAGGAGCAAACTAATTCAGCGAGCGGTTAGTATAAAGATGATCTTTCCAAGTGATACATTTTATAAATTCATTGTCGTTTTAGGTAAATTGGAGGACGAATGGTCGACGGGCTCGGACAGCGATGAAGCAGAGGTGCCGACTATGCGCGAAACGAGATCCCAGAAGAGTCCAAACAAGAAACCAGCGACGATCGAGGATCACAAAGAGGAAATCCTGGATAAGATCTTGGAGAAACCAGAGAATCCGGTGCCTGTGAAGTTGGTGATCTCCAAGAAGAAAGGCAGCATCTTCAAGAGTCGCAGTTTAGTTGCCGATAGTACGAAGAAGCGGAGGGAGAAGTTGTATAAACACAAGTGGAGTGATGATAATAAGGACGTGATTCAGAAGACTGGTGAAGGTACGACGACTAGTGAGACCGCGAGTGCGTCCGTCTACGACGACGATGAGTGCTTTAAGGATGACCCCCTAATGATGGTTGTAAAGGAGGTGGATGATGATTCCAGCGTTACCAGTGTGAAGTGCACCAAGAGTGATAAAGGAGTAAGTTTCTTTACAAAGAGTGAATTAATGATATGCTGACGGTTATATTATTTGTTATTAGTATTACACGGTAGTGAGAAACGTTAAGAAGGCCCATCAAATGCAGGAGATCGGCGAGTTCCAGGAGTTCAACGACGACGTTGAATACATTCTGGATGCGCTGCAGGACAACAACCCCATTAGCACCAGGTGCCTTTCTGCTATTACTTTGGCATCAAAGTGTATGGCACCTGCATTTAGAATGCACGTTAGGGCTCATGGTACTGTGGGGAAGTTCTTCAAGGCGTTACACGATGCGACTAGGGATCAAGTAATTTATATGGTTAATATTTATCGTAAGGCGTATTATAAACCATCCGTTTCAGAGTTTAGGATTATGTACGGCTACTGTGATGTTCGTGTTGAGTCAGGATCGTCTGAACATGGATTTAGATAGGGATTGTTTGGAATTGATGCTAAACTTGCTGGAATCAGATGTGAGCTATCAGCAGGCATTGGACGTGTGCGGTCTGAGCACGGCGCAACTCGAGAAGAACAAGCAGAAGGTGCGTGAGCTGTGCGCAGAAGTTCAGAGTCAGGGACAAGCGATGCACCTGAATTTGGACAACATCACCGTTGGACAACTCGCGATGGAGACGTTGCTCAGTCTGACATCGAAGAGAGCCGGAGAGTGGTTCAAGGAGGAATTGAGGGAGCTTGGCGGGTTGGAACACATTATGAAGACGATATGCGAGTGCTGTCGTCAAGTTTCCGACTACGTCGTTTCCTGGACTGATGCGCTTCTCGATAAATTGCGCAAAGTGGATAGATGTTTGCGAGTTTTAGAAAACGTAAGTTCTACTATCCTAAAATCTATGTGATATAATCAAATGATATTGTAAACTTATATATACAACCTTTAAGATTTACAATTGATGGATGAGTTCTATCAAAGCTCGATGTTTTGACACAAGTAAATGCGAATTTTTATAGATTTGTGGTATCAATTTTCTATATATGCTTATTTCGATATAGTCAAACCACAGAAATTAAATTTTAAAGAGAGAATTTAATGATCTCATACGATGTGTTTCAGGTCACGCATAACAATGAGGAAAACCAAACGTACCTGTTAAAATATAAAAATGGAATTCTGCTAGACACATTAGTGAAGTTGTACAGGCTCTGCGATTCCGAGATCCCGCTTTATCCTGTCACAGATATAACGGACAAGGAGTCGGCTGGAGCTGTGATTAGAGAAGCCCTGCTCGTCACTTTGAAAGTGCTGATTAATCTGACCCACCACTTCAACAAGCAATGTAAATCATATCACCTAGGTATTTTATAGAGTAATATTTATCATTGTTCATTTATTTTTAGCCATGGGTAGTACACTGATTGGAGAGAGGCCAGGTATCATCGACGCCAGTCTGCATCTTCTGCTGCAAGTGCCTCATTATATACCGGATCAAAAGAAATTCGAGCTAGGAGTTTTGGTGAGTCCTCCGACGAATACATGATTTGATAAATCTAATTTTCATTTCTTTGACGTAGGTACTTATGTTATTGATCAACTTGATACAAGACAACGATTGCAACAAAAAGCTGCTGATTGGCGCGAAGGCTCCAGCAGAATTCGAAAGTATATTTCCATGTAAGTTATAAACCATACTTAATTTATACATAGTAGTTTTTTTATTTCTTCACAATTAGCCAATGATAATTTAAAATCAATCTTTATAAAGTGGATTTAATTAAGGTTACTTATTGGCCCATACTTTACACTGGGATAATGGTTTTGACCTTCTTGAACGTGACCTATTCTTGATCTATATTCTGCGTGCTTATGACTACAATGAGAAGAATGTGGTACAACTATTTAAATGTCAATTACAGTTTTTCTTTTGTTTTTTTTACAATAAGTATAATTTTGTTGTTCATAGTTGCTAAATCTTTTTTTTCGTTTGGTGTAGGTGATAAGACTGCAGTAGAAGCTTTAATTGTACAATTTCACCAATGGGAGGAATGCGCGCGGGTTGCGGAGAAGCGCACGGATGCAATCCTGGACGGAGAAAAGGATGGCGAAGCGGCCACCCAACCGAAAACAAATGAAGAATTCATCGAAGAGACTGTTGCAAAACGTAATTATATCATCAATCGCTTCAGTATTTCTATAATAACGATTTGCCTGCGGCTATGTTTCAGTGCTGCAAAAGGCGGGTACGCATATGGAGTTCACATTCTTAGCGTCGTATCTGGTACTTCTGCTCGGCTACCTCATAATGGATAGCGAGGAGAACAAGCTGATCGTGCGGAAGTTCCTGAAGGACAACAACTTCTCGGTAATGGTGGAACTGCTGAAGAAGTTCTTCAACTTCATGAATCTTACTGCTTCGACGGAGGCGTCCAGCGTGTGCGCCATCAAGGCGACCGAGAAGGTGATCAAGTTCCTGGAGGACTGCGACAAACCTCCGGAGCCGCAGGAGACCGCCACTACTGCAACCACGTACAGTAGGGAATGCATGGATCTCAGTTTCTCGATAACACATTAAACATATTGTGGCGGCGGTCGAGGCGACGCCCGGTTTGTACAATTGTTTCTTAGGGAATTATTAATAAATATATATTGTTACTATTATTTTAAGCGACGTAAAAAAACACGAGACACCACAGACACAAACACACAAAACGAGAGCAAAATAAAAGAGAAAGGCTTCTTCTTTCCAATTTTACATTATTTTTATTTTTTGGTTTGGCAGTTGAACGTTTAATTTCAATATTATTATTATTTTGTACTATTATTAACATATATTTTTTATTTTTATTTGTACCTTAAAATATTTAGTTAAACTCGTTCTTCCTGATTTTTACAAGAGATACATTTTATTATATTATATACATATATTTATTGTATCAAAACATTTGTTTCCAGTCCGCCGCGGCTTCGGCGACGGAAACGCGGGGTCCGTCTTGAATTTGTACATTATATATATTTTTTTTTGTTTGTTTTTACTTTAATATTTTTTTTCTTCGAAACGTATATTTGATATGATGTATAAATTATATTTATATTATTTATTATACAAATAAATATAGACGATAGTACTTTCTATATTTTACGTAGACTTAAACAGAACTTATAATTAAGTTAGAAGTGTACGGAGACGACGACTTGGCGATTATTATTACGACGACCACGACGATTAGGGGCGAGCGCAGTTGTAATGTTATTGGATTGTTTTGAATTGTAAATATAAGCAATCGAGATTTTTGGTTTCATTCATTTTGCGAATTTTCTATATATTTTTTTTCTATTTGAAATTTGTTCGATTCGTGTAAAATACTATTCAAATGTTTTATATTTCAGTAAATACATTATTATATTAAACACCCATAACATTATTTTTATTTGGTATTTGAAGTCTTCAAAGCACATTCAAATCATCTTCGATTAGTAAACTATGAATTTGTAGACCAAACCATTGAAGAATTGGTTGGAACTAATAAAAAAACTTCTAACAGAATATTTCATGTCTACATGAGAAAAGCAAGCAAAATTTACTTTTTCATATTTTCTCACGTATTTTTTGGCCACAAACTTTAAAGAACTCGTAAGTTCCCTAACGAACTCTAAAAAATATAAATTATAATGTTGGGCTCCAATGTTAGCAATATTAAATGACAATCATATCATAGTAATTTAAGTACAGTGGAACCTCGCTTAACGAGTTTAATCCGTTCCAAATTTTCCGGATTGTTACTCGTATACTGAAACATACACATAATATATGTACAAAAGTTTTAAAAATGATGTAGCATGCGCGCAATCCGGGACTTCTCTTGTCATCGTCACTTGTTATGTGAAACGTCGTTAAGCGATGTTCCACTGTATAAGATTTTTTTCATTCAATACCACTGGCAGGGCCGATTTAAGATTATAGTAGACATCCGATTTAAGATTATACAGGACATCCAAACAATATTTTTCGTAGGGCAAAGGCAACTGCGGCTATTGAATAAGATTGCTCTGTCTACTGGTGTTTATCGGTTTTTTTTCAATTGGATCTTATTTTGTATTGGATTTTTATGATACAGGCATCAATGGGCATCAATAAGAAATATTAAAAAAGTATAGAGTGTAGTTTTAGTAAAAATGAGTAAAAAAAATATTATTTTAGGAAGTAACGGACTTCTTTTATTTCATTGCTTATTTTACCAACCATATGAATGAAAATTTAAATTCAAAAGTTATTAATTAATTAAATAAAGTAACTATTTCTATATTGATATTGAAAAACTTAATATTATGAGATAAAATTAATTAAAATACGTTAAATGCACATATTTTTATATAATTAAAAGCGATAAATAAAAAATGGATATTTTTTTATAAAGTTGTTAGCTAAAACAAATGAATAACAATAACCGTTAAAATAACGAAGAACAATGAAAAATCGCATTCAGGTTTGAAGTGTTTTCGAGGAAGGTACGTTTTTGCTTTGTTCGTGTCCAAAGGCGAAATCATGAATTCTATTCAGCGAATTGAAAAATATGATGGTGAGTTTTGTTATAAAAAACATATTTGTAACGATATGTAAGTTTTTATTTATAAAACAATTTTAATTGCAGAGAACAACAATTGTTCGATTTTCATCGTTATTGACAACTTGATGTACAAGGAAAACAAGAATAAGGGGCAAGTGGTCGTTGGTCCGCCGATGAACGAAGAATATAGGAATATCAAGGAACCCAACTACGAACACGAAATCTTTATATGTGAGTATATCCGGTTGTCTACATATGGCCGTCAACTCGAAAGCGCCATCTATTAATTGCAAAATGTTATTATTAATCAAGCATAATCAATTTTACTAAGGGGTCGATAAGCCGTAAAGGGGAAAGGGTAGAAATAGAGCAAAAAAGAGATTTATATCAATTTATTATTATTAAAAAAGAGATTTATATCAGTGGCAGAGGCAGTGGGACACGCATTGTACCACGTTTTGAACATGCCAAGTGGGACATTAATATAATTTTCAAAAAAATACAGGAAAGGGATGAAATTAATAGGACAGTAGAGAATGAAATGCAGTGCACGAAGATGTCTGATTCAAAAGGATAAATAGTGACTATTACTAATACTGTTAGAATTATTATTAATTAGAAATTAAGATTTTTTTAAATATAGCCATAATTTACTATGTGTGTTAATACTGTTCTTTAATTAGTTATTAGAATGAATTAAATTATATACTCCAATTCATTCTAATCATGAATGATAATCAATTATGTCCTGGTATTGTCCCTGTTAAAACATGTAATTTTTCATAAATATTAGGTGTTCATAAAGACATGAGTTGTTAAGTTCAGCATTAGTAAATCTGTTTGGATATGTACAGGCAATATTCCGAAATACTTTCGGGAGACGAATTTGATTCCGATCGTGTCTAAAATCGGCGCGATCTACACCACGAAGATGTTTTACACGTTTTCGGAGCAGAATCGGGGCTACGCGTTCGTAAAATTCGTTAGCGTGGAAGCCGCGCGAACGGCTTTGCACCAGCTGCAGGGCTACAGGATCGGGCCGAAATCGAAGTTACGGGTCACCAGGTCAATCAATAACAACATCGTGTTCCTAGGTCGGTCCGCTCCTCGCATCCATCGATCCCTATCCATAACTAATCCTGTAAACTTTAGGTAATCTGAACGCGAATCGGTATTCCCTTCTATACGTAGAGGCGAGGATCAAAGCCATCGCGAAAAACGTCCGCCGCGTATGCGTTTACGCCGCCTCCAAATGGGCCCGGTATTCCGTGACCGTGGAATTCTTCGACCACTCCGACGCAGCTATTTTCAGACGCGCGATGATCACACTCAAGGACACCTACTTTACCCATTCGGTTATCCTCAATTGGTACGGAAACGCTGTCCCCCAAACGCAGGTAAATTACCAATTTCCGACCAATTTAACTTCATTTATTTAATGAACCGATCTTTCAGATGATTGCCGACAAGTGCTGGTTTTCAAGAGATAACCAGGTTAATCCGATCACCAACATTATGGATATGGAGGAGTTTTGCAGGCTGAACTCAGAATTGCTCGAAGATTGAAAAACATCAACAATACCATTCGCTTTAAATACTCTAATTTTACATTATTCGATTTTCAAACAATTTTATATCTCATTTAATTTACTATTACGCAATTTAATAGGCAAATAATTTTAAATCACTTTTACGTTTCATTTTCATTTATAATCATTGACATAACAACTGATTTGATTCATTTTATCTCTACATTTAAATGTTGTAATATCATGTTAAAACCGATTAACAAATAGTTTTATTGGCAATTTGATCATTATGTTTTCAATTTAAAATCCACAATATCATATATAAACATATCTAATTCTCGATAAATGTATATATAAACATTAGAAAACTTCATTGACAAAGTTTTAATATTTATATTAAAAAGTATAGTTTGACACAAATGTTAACGTTATTTGAAAAAATATGACAGTAATTCTAATAAATCATATTATTTTCTGGTATTTTAGTGAAATTTTGAAGAATATAATTGGATGTGCGGATGCGGAATCATGCGTCTAATCCTCTAAAGGGGCTTATTTGCATTATTGGACATCTTACAACCTTTTGATTGATACTTACTGTTAGGTTTCTTTGGATGAAGTTCCAAGACTAATACCCTGTTCTCTTTGCAATTATGTCTGGTGTAAAAACTATAAATTGTAGTTTACTAAATCCATAGCATGTATGTTTATGTATATAATGATATAATGTCATGAGGACAAGGACCAGAAAACATGTTACCACTTAAGAATATGAGTTAAGAATTGGGATGTGACAGATGCATGTAGATATAAAAATCGATTTGTATTTTTAGCATCTGCGTTTGGTTTTATTAAATATATAGACGATTCCAAACGACAAATGAAACATGCATTTCTGAATGCACAAAATCTTAAAAATAATAATATCAACAACAACAATCAACTCTCGATTATTGCCATGTCAGGAAGTTTAATTTCCACGTCATTGCCATGTGGAACATAAAAACATTGTATGTAATATAGTTTTCAAGCAGTTGTATACGAACCAGACATAAAAGAAGCTTCACTTTCATAAAAATCAATTGTTTAATTAAACATTAACAAAAAATGCCCATCATTCGAATCGAAAATTACAGAAAAATAATTATTATAACACGTACATACACTTTTATCAATTTGATAATATAATCAGAAAAAAAAAATATAGAGAGTAATTGTACTAAAACTTAAAGAACAAAAAAATGCACACAAGAATCAAACACTATGATGAATTTGATTCAACTTTATCTTCCCCGGAGTCGATTTCGATCGACTCAATTTTCACTTCTTTACTGTCCTTCTCCCACCGACTCTTCGGCTCATCCTTCTTTACGTTTTCCTCTTTGGTATTATTGACGGTGCTGTTCAACACCGGATCGATTTTGTCCAGGATCTCGACGAGAGTCGTCTGGAATAATTTGGCACAAGCCTGTAACAAATATAGGAGTTAAATAAAGCCATTTAAGATGTGTTTAGGTAGTACATTTGTCCGATGTAGAGAGTCTTCAGCAATCTTCAGTTTTTCCTTGTAATCCTTCAAGTCGGTGTTCAAGTTTTTGATGTTAGCATTGCACTTGTTGTTCTTATCCAGCAATTTGATGTTTTCTGATTTCAGGTCTATCATGCGAGTCTCTGTATCAATTCGCGCTTTGTCGCTTCTCTCCAACTGCGCCATCAGCTTTTCCACGTCCACCAAAGCTCCTCTGAACATCACCAAACCTAAGGAATACAAAATAATACAATAATGCTGAATGATTTCAATAATTCAAGTAGACGCACCTTCATCCAAAGTGCAGGCTTCTGAACTATCCAATTTAAGCTTTTTATTTCGTGGACCATCGTTGAATATTGGCAAAAGCATTTTATTCCCCACTGCCAATTCTTCGATGTTGGATTCTCTGTCCGTGTCATCGATAACAATAAAACCCTCATCCTTGGGTTTGTCTGTGAGCTTCCTGTAATGCAGCGAATCCCTAGTAATCACTTTACCCACCAGCTTCCTGACCTGCGCTCTTGAAAGATTCAAACCCAACGTATACAGCAAATCCTCGATATCCTTTTCAAAAATATAACCGCAATGGGTCTGGTCAAAGTATATGAACGATAAAAGGAGATGCTTGTCTTTGGTGAACATCTTCACGCGTTCCTTCTTTTTCTTCTCCTTCTTCTTGTCCTTATCTTCATCATCATCCAACTCATCTTCCTCGCTTTCATTTTCCTCTTTCTTTTTCTTATCCACGCTCTTTCGGTCTTCGTTCTTCTTGTCATCTTTACCTTTATCATCATCGTCCCTTTTCTTATCGTCGTCCTTTTTGTTCGCTTTCTTATCCTCCTTGTCGCGTGGTTTATCCGGTAATTCGTACAGAGCCCTGTATATGTTAAAACCGAAATCTCTCATCAGCATTTCGTTAAACAACTCAGCAAATAGCGAGACCTCGAACGAATGCTCTTTAGTATCTTCCGGACGGTAATCCAAGAGCAACGATAACGACATTACGGTACAATCGAATTTGCCAGATTTCGCTGTGCGCGAAGGATGCACGATGATGTGCTGCTGCTCCGGTAAATTGTATCTCTTCTCAAGTTGCTGCTTCTCCTTTGCATCAATTTTCTTTTCTTCTTCCTTCAATTGCAACAAAAATATTCAATTAAAAACATGGTACTAGCATAAATCCAAAATATTGATTATAGTTAGCAATAATTTAAATAGTTTTAACACTATTGGATTATTGTCCATGGCTCTTTTCTGCCATCTATATTAATTAATTTAAGAATTAATCCAAATATGTTAGGTAATAACTAATTCATTAATATTATTTAGTACCTCATTTTTCTTTTCCTCGCAAGCTTCGTCTTCGTTGACCTCCTTGCCATCATCTGATTTAGCTGATTCAGATTTAATTGCTTTGTTGAGCTTTGCAACCAATTGAGATTTAATCAGTCCTACACAGTTGATGGACCTTGCTTTCAGCTCTTTACGCATCTCCATGATGCCCATTGACTTTGGATCAAGCTGCGAGTAATGGGTTGGCTCCAACTTGTTCTCGTTGGATACCTCCTCTTCCTGTCACAGGAAACAACAGACATATTAACGGGTGGTTTCCGAAAGCGAATGAGTTTCAAAAAATAATAATTTAAAACAAGAAATAAAGAACTTAATGGGATACTAACATACACATCCACACAAAGGTTCCATTCTCACCAAGAACAAGAACAATAGAATTACAATCATTAGTACATCGCCAATAAAAAGAATAATGACGCACAGACTGCGTAAAGAGTAAAAAAAGAGAAATAAACAATAAGGGGGAGGGTTGAAGGAAATAATAAGATGGACAAAGGTTGTTGTTGTTGATATAGATGCGGAGAAGAGACATTTAGAAAAATCCGGAAATTGCCGAATTGGCAATTGTCTCGCTCGGGAATTTGCGGCCCGGCTCCCAAATACCTATCCTATACTATGATTTCGTCGTGCATATACCACCCGTATGCGCAATACATGAGTGTGTATATATATATGTTTATATAGATGTATATGTTTATGGAATTTGTATGCAGCAGACACATGTATATAGATCGCAGATATGTGTAAAGAAATAAAAATAAAAAGTTAGGTGCCTTTTCGTCGCTTAGGTGCGCCTCATCTGGTGGCTCCTGGTCGGCGGCTCTCGTCAGCTTTCGCTCGAGCTGCTTGCTGTAGTTAAGTTGCAAGGAATCCCACTCCAATCTGGTGGCTAAACAGCTCCAAACATCCGGAAGAAAGAGGACCACCGTTTCCACGCGGGCAGCCATGGGTCTGCCCTTGTGGCTGCTGTCGCCTCGCCGGTAGTAAAGCTCCACGAAGCGGTACCTATTCAGAACACATAAAAGACATAAGACCTCTCTCTAATTGCCGGAAACACGCGCAATTCATCACCCGCCTACTTACGCCTACTCCAAACTCTGTAAAAATCAAACCTAAAGACAAACTATCGAAGATAGACTAATGAATATATATATATATAATATGTACACAAACGAAAAACAAAACAAACGAACGGAACAAAAAATAATAATAATGAAATCAGAAGAAAACATAAGTTCAGAAGAAATAAATAAATAAATAAAATAGGTGCCACCAAATAATTCACGAATGTTCATCGCCAAAGCCTCAAACGTTAGTCAAGCGATCACTCACCATTTCGTACAGTTGGACAGGTCGATGCCGGTCAGAGCTTTACAGGTCCTGATAGCAGTCTTGATGAGCACGCTTGGATCCTTGTCTGGATTCTCGCCATCCAAAGATGCGCTCCACGGTCCACCAATAGCCATCGTTTCATTCTTGCCCCGCAAACCAACCAAAAAATTAATTAATCTCGTTGGATGGATGTAATCCCTTTCCTCGCTATCTCTGTCCCTCCGATCCTTGTCTTCAGCCATTGCACAGCATTTCTGGTACATCTCATCCATGCCCGGAACGCTCATAAGCATTACCTAAGAAAATTGTTTAATTATTCTTATTCATTCATTTGAAATTGCAATTTATACAGTACTAAAATGGCAAATTCTTCATTAATTAAAATTCTTGTTTTATTTGAACATAGTAATAATTTGAACTAAGTATTGAGTTATGATAAATAATACTAATGATGATTAGTTTATATTTATATGATCATGATTTTGATTAAATCATTGTGGATTTAATATACTTACTTTAGCTGAGAACAAATAGTCAGCATCTGGAGGCTCCAAGACTGATTCATTTTCCAAGACAGGATCTACATCCTTATGCATAATATGAAAGGAGCATGGTTTGTTTAAAGTGAAGGGTTTGTCTGCTGGGAAAGCATCCATCCAACGAAATTGACTACAAAAGAAGTCCGATGGTATGTACAAATTGGAATACCGGTGTCGAGTTTCCAAAACATCAGCTGATACACTATAAATAAAAAAACAAACGATTTTTATTACACATGCTAAATATAATTCGCAATGAACGAACGTACAGATCTAACGCTATCTTAGGGATCTGCACCATGTATCTCGGTACAATTCTGGAGCGTCTCCTATTCTTTGGGCTCCTTGATCTTCTCCTCAAAGGTGACTTTTTGTCATCCTTTTCGCGCTCTCGCAATCGTTCCTCCCTGCGTTTCTTCCTATCGATTTCCTCATCATCACGTTCTCTATCTCTGGAACGCTCTCTGCCTCTACCGCCGGCAGCAGCTTTCGGACGACTTCGATTAAAGTTACCGTTGCTCCCCTCGTTCGGGGGAGGCACAGCGTTATACGAATTGTTGCTGCTTTGATTTGTGTTGAAACTCTTATTAGAATTATTCCTTGATGGGGCAGGAGGATTTCCCATGGGCAGAACTTGAATTCTGGTGGCATTCCATTTAAAGGGCATTGTAGAGTTGTATGATGCTTCCACTAAGACCCTGTCTCCAACCATTGGTGTTCTCTGGCCTTTGCCACAAGCTGTTGTCTGGAAGAACACATCCTCATCGACAAAACCGAAATTGTCGTGGACAGTTGTCACTGTACCTGTAAAGAACCTTTGCTTTGTACTGGTGTTGTTTGCTGACTGAGGCACTGAGTTCACAGATTGCTGGCTCTGGAAAGCAGATGCATTCAGGTTCCTTGGACTCGGATAGGTCACAGCGCCCACCTGCTGGAAAAGCTGGTTTGAGGTGAGCTGCGTACCCAGTCCTACAGCAGGGTTGGCCATCTGCTGTAACCCCAAGCCCAGGTTCTGCTGCTGCATGCCAACATTTTGGAAGACTTGCTGTTGCTGGAAAGGCACTATGCCACTTGTGTTCATCGAGCTGAGGCCGCCCTGGCTGATGATCTGCTGCTGCAGAGCGTTCGTCTGTCCGACGAGGTTCGGGGCGCCGCCTCCGCCACCTCCACCGCCGCCGCCCCGCGTCCATGGAGCGTTCTTGGCGGTCCCGTACGGCCCCATGTTGTTCATCGTTGATGCTGCTTTTGTTATTATTGTTCTATTCAATTAGCAGTGCACCCACTCACACTCCTTTCTCTACTTCTGTTTATTACTATTATTATCACCACTGACGAGTTACGTAAATTGTAACTGAAGCGCAAGAGGGCACCCACCGACAGCTGCACGACGACGCGCGCTCCTTGGATACCTTCGTCAACGCTCATCTAATACATAGACAACCCAACTTGCTATATCCTTTAAAACTCTTTCCCAACGCACATTCCTGCTCATAAAATAGCTTATATAACTATTAACACATCAACTTGGAACATAACTTATTTATTTATTTACATTATATCTTAACAATAATATGAAACTTTTGAATATTTTTATGTTTGAAATTTTATTTTTTTTAGCGAATCTATTTAAAAACCCCAATGTTCTAATTGACAAATATTTTTTATTGATCAAATACAAAATATTTGTATTTAGTTTTTCAGTAACTATCATAAATATACAAGAATCACTATTTTACATCCAACATATGAAAAATCCATAGAACACCTCAACTAGAAGTAGTAAACAACATGCTTAAATTCTGAATCTATCCAATCGAAATATAGATTTTTCGTGTTGAAAACAACATTTTTAATGTATGAACACAAATATTGCAGCAGTCATAAGATAAATGATTGGACGAAATAATAAATTGTATTTATATACTACAAATTTGACCTAAATATATTGATTTAGATTTGCACATATTTAACAATTATTTAATTTTATTTGTCCAATTTTTTGGGCATTTCATCCAAACAGTAAAATATAATTATTTATCCTTGTAGAGTTGAAAAACTTCAATCAAGTGTACATAATAGTGTACATTCGTTCTGTTTATACTTATGCAATAAACATTATTCTTTTATAAACAGTAACAGTTTAAAAACAGATAACAACTTCTTTATAGATAATAGCAATAAATCATGCACTTTACTTGCGATTACAAATAAAACATAAAAATACTTGAGGCGATAATACTAATTACGTTGACTTTTAGCAGATCTAATGAGCAATTTATTTCGCTACAAAAAAACATGATTGTTTTCAATGACAGAAAGATACACACACACTTGTTTTTAATTACACGTTAGATGAGTGTTCAATCAGGAACAGGAAACGCCAAGTATTGCACTAGCTTCTTAATTTATGGGACCTGAAAATGAACGTCGATGAATCAGTGGTGCTCCAAGTTCTATAATCGATTTAAATGTCACGGACGTCGTTTTTTTTTAAGCATTCTAGACAATATGACATGTATATTTATAGAAATAATTAATATTTAGACACAATTACAATTTTATTTATACATTAATTATTTTTATCTAATTATAAATGAAGTCTTTGTTGACGTGTGGACGTTGAGTTAATGCTCATATCATTGCAACATTGATTGTTTATAATTTGAATTATGCAATCAGACGATAAAAGGCATAAAATATATAAACACATATTGAAATTATCGAATAATTACAGATAATTGTTTCCGACCAAATAAGAAATAAACAAAGATACTTGCCAGTAAAATAATAATGATAATTTCAATAAATCGTTACAATTCAATACAAATTTGATAACTTTATCAACTGAAAGTCTTATACTTTTAGATCATCTAAAAATTCTACCAAAACAGATTCAATAATAAATTATTCAAACCAATTTTAATGAGACTATAGTCAAAATACAAGATACATAACGTAACTAATCAATTAAAGCTACTAATTATACAACTATTATCGAATGATATTTATTGATTTAGTATTCGTTTTTTTTATGTTAGTAAAAATATTGAAAACTTACACCTTGTTCTCGTTTTTAATTTATACTATAGTTTATTTTTCACGTTTAATATTTCTTATTCGATGTATTGAAATATGAGGGATTAGTCAATAAATATTTATTAATGAATAAGAGTATTACACATAAAACAAATATAAATAACATATTTATATCATAGTTATTAGATAGATGATGACTTTAATCTTAATAAAAAAAACTTGTTATTTTCGTAGATTTGTCATTTAGTTGTAATTTAATAATTTAGCAGGATGTTATGAACTTAGTATTAAATATTTAGCAGAATTTTAGTTGATTTTAGGTTCTTGTAAATGTGTCAGATTTAATGTTACATTTTTTAATATTTACTAATTTCATATTACATTTCTTTTACGGGGATCTGAGTAAGATTCTATTTGAAATAAGATGAAAAATAATGGTTTTGACTGTTTGAATCATAGCTTTCGATAAAATTAATTAAATTATTTATATTTGTTTACTTCAGTGTTTGAAGTGTTTTGTAAACAATTCCGGCGAGTCTGAAATCTAAGGATTAAATATGTCGTCTCATCATTTCGAATTATGTGGAATAAAAATGATAAATTTACGTTGAGTATTACTAATTATCTGGAATGCTTTGATGCAAATCATCGTAATGGAATTGTCAATTGTTTATAATAATTTGTGAAAGTAAAGAGTATTGCTGAGTAAGATGTTAATACGAAGCAAGAATGTATAAATAATATTGACAATATCGTTCATAACGATTACTCATGCAAACGATGATAATAATTATGCAAAGAGTGTCTTTTTCTGTATGCAAATTTAAATCTAATCGTGAGGCCCACGTTAATTCATGCATCATAAATGGAGGCGTCCGCCTCATGTCCTTAAATAAACGAAATGTGGAGGAGATAATTTTAGAAGGTCGATGGAATTTTCCATCGGGATTCCAGCGCACCGCAACCAAACGTACATAATGCGAAGATCGTTACCAAAAAAGAAAAAGTTAAAGGAGCAAAAAAAGACAATTATTGCTTCTGTTAGTGCTCCCCGAAAATAAACATGTTTATGTTAATTTTATTGATGTAATTTAAAAATAAAAATCATTGTAAATGCATAGGTTTATCCATTTGCTGAGCAAATATTGACAGGAAATATTATTGTAAAGAAAAAAGCGACGGTTGAAGGAATCGCAGTTGAAAGAGACGGAGAGAGTGGGGTGTAGAGGACTACGCTAGTCAAAAGGATGTTACGGTATACGGTTTAGGCGCGAATTTCGAAATTCTTTGCTCGAATCGAGATTTCCTATCAGATTCCATTTGGATAATTTGCAATTTTGTGTTTGGATTGATTTTATATGCGTTTAGAAAATGTTTTCTTTTGGTTTTATTGGGATTTGGTTTGATTTAGGTTCTCTGTTGCATGTGGATGCTGGGATGGATTGGAGGTTCTTGGTTTCGTAATAGGTCGAAGAACGAAAATGAATTGTATAAATAGAATATATGTACATATTTTTTTATGGTATATGGAGATAAGGTTCGTTCGGAGTTTGTGGAGTAGCAGTAGCGCGCCGTCAATTGATTAGTGTTGTCATTTCCGTAGTCATGGCACTCTTCGCTCTTTACCGTAAGGCAGGCTCTCTCACTTTCCAGACCGCATTCAGTTGTGGATCCACGTTAAGTGCACAGTCGAGTGTTTCTCTGATCCGTCAATTCTCCAAAAATATGGGTTTGCCAAAGGTGTTTTTCGATATGACCGCCGATAATCAGTCGGTGGGCAGGATCGTCATCGAGGTAAGTGCAGAGAATCGAGAAGATTGAGGTTGGGCGAAAACGCCGCATCATAGCCTTGTCCCCCTCTGATTGCTGCCATGCTTGCTGGAACTCGCCGGTAACCCAACACCGCCCGGAAAGTTACGGTTATCCGCATCTATGACCTTCAACATAGGAAAATTACCCATGATAAAAGAATTTCCTGGACATCCTTTAGCATTTCAACAAGAAACCGGCATCTTTTTATCCCATGTTCATTTATAATTATGATTAGTCATCCATTGAAACACCTATAAATTTTTCTCCTGTTGTTTGCTTCCGGCAATTATTACCATTCCAAAGGCGACTCGATTCCGTGCAGCAGCAGCTTACCTTGGCAACAGCACCAAGCAACGCGTCTCATTCCGTGTGTCTTCTTTTTTTTTCCCGAAACAGCTGAGGTCCGACGTCGTCCCAAAGACTGCCGAGAACTTCCGCGCCTTGTGCACCGGCGAGAAGGGCTACGGCTACAAGGGATCCACCTTCCACCGTGTCATCCCCAACTTCATGTGCCAAGGAGGAGACTTCACCAACCACAACGGCACCGGCGGAAAGTCCATCTACGGCAACAAATTCGAGGATGAGAACTTCACGCTGAAGCACACCGGTCCCGGTGTCATGTCCATGGCCAACGCTGGCCCAGACACCAACGGCTCCCAGTTCTTCATCACTACTGTCAAGACTACCTGGTTGGACAACAAGCACGTCGTCTTCGGTGCCGTCGTTGAGGGCATGGACGTCGTCAAGAAGATCGAGGGCTGGGGCACGCAGTCCGGCAAGACCTCCAAAAAGATCGTCGTCTCCAACTGTGGACAACTTTAAGCAACAAACTACAATTCTTTCGTACATCTTTCTTTAAACAAAAACAACAAAAGAAAAAAAACTTCTTGTTTTTTTAATTTACCTACATACTTATAAAACAACAACAAACAAAAAAACGCCGGTACACCCACACTAATTACATCCCAAAAAATGCTACAATTTAAAACAAAAATAATATGTAAGAAATGCAATCAATCATTCCTCTGTAACTACTTCGGTGTATCGTTTTTTTCCAGTAGAAATGTGATTACGTTAAGTAAAAAAGAAAAATTACAAAAATGAACAAAAAAAAATATTTGGCGCTATTTTATTTAGTTTGTAGCCTAAGATCTGCATTTATAATGTTTCTATTCTCATGTGGTATTTCAAATAAACCATATGATACTACAGTATAGATTTATCTCCATTAACCTTGACTAACCTCTCTTAGTTCCGTGGGCTCTGCATTCCCTGCTGTAATCTACAAAGTCATTTACATCCTCCGTAGGCAACCAATGCTACATAGGCGTTACTGATTTAAATTTAAGTCACGCCATTTATTGCACTTTACTCTAACATAATTCCATGAATTCTTGGATCATTTAAATAGTTGTATTTCTCATAAATTAACACAGAATCAAGTATTCCTTGTACTACACATAAATAGAAAATAAGAGGTCACATAAGGTTATATTTAAATAGTTCAGGTGCTTTCCATTTTGCTCTTCTAAGTAAAAACATGTTTTCTGTTATTGATAATTATTATTCCTAATGAAATTCTTTTTAATGTTAAATAAAAGATTACTATTTATAAGCAATGCTTCATTTACTTTATAGTTACATTTATTACAAATAAAAAACATATTTAAAACTTATTTAATTTGAATATTTCTTGCATAATTACTTAAGCATTTGATTAATATTCTTTTACTAGAAAAATGTTTTACAATCTATCTTGTAATATTCCTGAGTTTTACAGAAATATTTACATCCGTTTTACAAAAACTATCGTTTGAATTGGTAGATTTAAACTTCTGTTGATTCTATAGATTTTACATATCAGCAAAAAAAATTCTAAAGCATAAACTGCATGTAATTAATAATAGATCTAGAAATAAATTAAAGAACAGTATTGAATTCCTAAATATTTTTATAGCTTTATCTATTACATGAACATAATTATGAAAAAAAGCATAAAAGATAGATTTTATTTAAATTGCAATTGCAAAACTTGAAACAGTTTTAATTGACATTTCAAGGCAAAATTGATGTTTTGGAATTAATTTATATATTTATAATACAACTCATGAACCGTAACTGAAAATATTAAATTATATAGTATTTTGAGTATTTTGAAATAAAAACAAAAACATAATACTTTAATAATTTATCAAGAAATATGGATTTTTGATAATTTTAATAATTAAAATATTTATTACATCCATATAAAATACATGTTCAAATTTAGTTAAAATATATATTTTAATTGAAATTTAAAATGATTAAGTTCCTTATGGCCAATTAATAGTAATTAGGCAAAACTAGTTCGTAGTAAATTTGTATAACTTATTGAATCTTATGGAATCAAGTTAACATTGGTGACTAGCAAGTTGACATTAGACAGAAAAAAATATGTCAGTGATTAACAAATTAATTGTGATTTACATATTCAATGAATCGTGTGAATTTAATATTTACAAAGAAACTATACATTTGGTAAGTCTATAAAAATCATATTAAAATGTAATGTAATATTTATTTGTTTTAGATTGCATTTATCAATGATTAGAGCACAAAATAATTTATTATATATTTATCTGGTATTGAATGAAGAAAAACTTGAGGATGTGCCAATTGGGATTTGCAAACAGCTTGCTTTCCTAGAAAGATATTCAGTGATGACGATGAGAAATAATTCAGTGATGTTATCCATCAAATTCCTATCTGCACGCAACTCGCGGTTTTCATCAAATATTAACAGTGAGTAATTAATGCGTTTTTTTGATTAGATTGAGGCCGATAATTGGATTTAATAGAAAAGTCTGATAAATTGATTGTTGAAAATTTCATGGGCACACATCAATTACGTGTTTCTTGTAATGTTACGCAACGGGTATTTCTAATTACATCGCGATTCGAGGGCGGCGACGTCGGAATTACCTTTAATTACTCGCATGAATTATGTAAAACGGTCGTGGTGTGTCCATTGATTTCTTCTTCGAATTACAAATTATTTGATTTGTTACGTAAGAAATTCTTCCGTTCGTCCGTTTCCGATGAAAGTGACGTAAATGCAATTGATTGCGCGGTTCTTCTTTTAAATTTTAATTATATAATTACTTTAGAGTAATTGCACGAAAGGTAGGTAAACAAAAAAATTGTTGAAGGACACGCGCTGTCTATGATCGATATTACAGACCAATGTGTGATATAACCCTTTGAGGGGCGGTGGGATACACATTGTCCCAACTTTTGAACATGCCTAGTAGGGCATTATTTTAATTTTCTAGGAAATGTCCAGGAAAGAGGAATTATCCTTTAATTTGTTTGGATGAATATACCATATTATCTGATGTTGATTCAGTTTACGTGGCTGTCTGATTCAGTTGTCTAGAAATTTGTTAGGTCTATAAATTTAGGAATTTATGGCCTCTCAAAGAGTTAAAGGGAAAAACCGATCATTTCAGTATAATAAAATGTTTTGAAATTTTGAAACCGGATTATAGTGAATCCGGACTGTAGTGAAGCTGGACTATGCGGTGGTATTGCTGCAACTGTTTGTAGAATTGATGTAAAGAAAAACAAAGATCATTTTGGGATTATTACACGGATGTCGATCAATCGCTTTTATTTAACATTCAGTAATTATTTATATACATCGATAAATATATTCATTCATTATTATTATATACAAATAATTTAAGTACACAAACAACACGGAAAATGATTATTTTTTGGGTTTAAAATACATCGATTACAGCAATAAACATGTATAATATACGATATATAGTTAATTTTCATTTTTTTTCTTGGATATAGGACACATTGTCCCAAATACATGTACATGCATATATAATTTATATGTGATAACACTATTATTTATTTTAGAATACAGCTTTCTTTTGGCGTTGTTCAGGTGGTTGCCATTTACCTCTTTGGTTGGTAATTTAGATAAAAGGTTATTATTATTATATTTTTTTATTCTTTTCTCAATAAGATCTAATAATTAATAGAGATTGTCTATACATAGAGTGGTCCAAAAAATACATCAAGGGGAGAAAATAGAAACGTTACATTATTACTTATTATCTTTACAATATATCATAGATATTTACAATAGAAAAACAATATTTTGCTAATAGCACCTTCGTCCAGCGAAGGTTCGAAACTAAACTCGGAAATATCAATAAAAACAAAAATAAATAAATAAAGACTTAAGTCATTTGGGAAATTGCTACAATCGATTCATTTCAATCGATAATTGCAGTTTGCTTCTTTAGATTCTTATAAAATACTTGTATCTTTTTGTTTGTGTTCTAATTTATTTCCTATTGGCTACGAATATTTCAGAATTATATATTTAGTTAGTATTGCGAGTTATTATTTTAGTAAAATATTTGGTTCACGCAGGTTTCCTCAATATATGATTGTAGACAATTATTAAATTTAATTATTATTTAGTGTTATGGAATATTGAATAATAATAGAATGTGTATTTCTTGATTTGAGAATAAGGAATAAATATTCACGTACCAGACGTGTTTATTGAAATCTTAAATAATTCCTAGAATATTGATTATAGTGTGTTTTTCAAGTTGTTCATATTTATTTAGTTCTACTGTGAAAATAGGTTATAGTTGTTTGTATAAAATGTAATTTCCCAAACGAAGTGAGTCTTGCGAAAATGAAAAGAACGCAACAACTTCCCTTAATGATATGAAAAGAAAATAAAAGTTACATATACTATATAATTTTCTGCCTTTATAAACTCTCTCCTTTGACGAATGTCCGTTCGGTTGTGCTTTGGTCGCTCGGACCATGTTGTTCTGAGTGTTATGCGTTTTCCCCATATATAAATATATATATCATTTCCTTGACTATCCTTTTAGGCCTAATACAAAATGAACACAATGCATAAAACAGAAGATGATTTTGTAATAATTATAATATTGTATTTATTATAACATCAATATATTCCTCTACTATTTAAATTCTTATTCCATTTTTATTTTAAACTCTCATCTAGATTGTGATTGTACTCTTTTAAATACCATCAATTATCCTTAAGACACATTTAATTTGTAACAAATATTAGTTTATAAGTAAGTTAAGTAATTATTTTGTTTTGGGAGTTGGGGGGTGGTGGTGAGTTGAGGGAGTGCGCTTTTTTAAATGAGATCCAGACATGTGGTCGATAAAAGCTATTTGACAAAGAGGTCCTTCAGAGAGGAGCAGATTGAAGAGTCCGCTGCTTCTTTGGTTTGCTTAGGTTTGGAAGAGGTTTGCGGCGCTTTGAGGAAATCCTCGATGGCGTTGCCGAGGACCTGGGGATCGACGACGGAGTCGTCCCAGAGGACTTTGTTGGGTTGTAGGGCGGGTTTGGTGCGTTTGGTAGACATTGGTTGGTGCCGTTTTGTGAACCAGTCAGAGGGTGGTTGGGTGGTGACTACATTTGTTAGAGCGGAGACATCGAAACTGTTCGATCTGTTCGTCTTCAGGCGGTTCCGTTTCTGGTCAGTCGTTGATTTCTTTGCTGGTGCTGTTGACGGCGTGACGGACATCTCACACTGCCGGTCGATTTCGGTGGCGGAGGAGGTGAGCGAGGACAAAATAGAAATAAGATCAGTATTTGAGCAAACTATGCCGGTGGATTTTTTCTTACATGCGCTCGGCGGAGGCGGCTGCTGGTGTACTTGTTGTGGTGGTTGTTGTTGCTGTTGTTGGGGTGGCAGTTCAGAGGCTCTGCGAGCTCTAGAGCTGCTCGGGATCGGGGTCAGGGTGGTTCCGATAAAGTCGGAGTATCGGCGGCCCCCGCCGGCGCTCGTAGTGTACTTCTGCACGTTGGTGCCAACTTCGTCGAGGTTCTGCACCTCGCAAACCTTCTCGCTGCTTGTGTTCCACAGTTTCATGCGCACCTTCCGCGCTTGCACGATGTCGTCCATTATGTCTAGCTGTAGATTGTGGACGCTGCCCCTCGGCTCGGTGGAGGGCGGGCCGCCGCCGCCTCCGCATCCACCGACGATCGACTCGCGCCTCGAACCCTGCAGAACGCGATTCGGAAACGCCGCCACCGATTCCCGTCGGTTCCTGCCAAACAGCGTGACCGGCAACTTGCAGATGGTGACTACGGAATGTCTGCGGCCTCCGGGCATCGGAGCTGCTGCCGTGGACAGCGTCGCCAAGAACTCGGTCTGCCTAGGTCCAGGACCAGACCCGCCTTCACTTCTTTCAGACAATCTCCGCACTTGGCTAGCCGTGATGCCGCTGCATTGCGGCGTCGGCAGAGAGTGCTTTCTAGTCTCCTTCGAGTCCCTCCACGGAGACAGCAGGTAGGGATTCATGAAGTTCGTCGGCGACTCCTCATCGGAGGTGTCGTTCTCCGAAGACCTCTCCTCGGTAACGCATTCCGGCACGTCCAGCTCGTCGACGACGATCAACGGCTCGGAGGGCTGCGACTGCAGCTGTACCATCGGCTTTCTCGACATCCCCTGCAAAACCAGATCAAAACAGAAACGAATTAACAACCCCTCTGTATCCCGAGGCATCCACCCTCATTTCTACTCCACCTCATATATTCTAACACTAACTACATCAGTCGCACGACAAACGCCGCCTATCGATCAGTCGCTATACATAGATTCGCACACCCTGCGAGTCCAATCGAGTAAACTCTAATTATACCACTGCTACACGATGACATAATTATTATAATGAACGGCTTCGGAATTAATATATATCAATCTCCACTCGCTGTGAGCGCTTCCTATTAACATCAATCACGCATACCCATTACTTATTACATTTACTTATTCAACGATAATAACTACCTTGATTATCGTTTCACGCTAATTACTTAAAGACTTGCCAACAGGAATACTTATCAATACATTAATGTGTATACTAGAAGTATGCAACTTAAATATTAATCCATATGAGACATAGGCAGATACTCAAAATTTAATTAAAATATTATCATAATATTGATCTGAAAATATTTATGGACAATAGTGAACGTCTACAATACCCATAAATAAATATTGACAAATATTTTATGATTAACTAATGTACTTTCAATATTATTGAACTTTTACCAACAAAAATGTCGATAAGCGTTTCTTCATTAAATAAGGTATTTTCAATTTTGTAGTGAATATATGAAATATATGAAACATGTATATTTTATATCTTACATATTTGATATTTAACAGATTATCCTTTCAACCAATTCTTCTTACTTAAGCTTTTGTAATTCTATATTTTTTTTAATTTTCTATATTATATTAGCATGAAACTTATAACAATTTTGGACAATATTTTGTTTAGTATGTCATAGTTAATATTTAAAAAGTTATTTAATTTAGATTTAAAAACGGTCGTGTTTCTGTGGATAGGAATTTGAATTACATATTCTAAAAAAAAATGTTACGTCCATTATTGAAGTGCTAACAAATTTCTTGGCTATATTTGGAGACGTCGACGGACAAAACAAACAGTGGTAAATATAAGATTATAACTATGACATATTATGTTTTATTCGGTATCCAATATCAATATAATAATATATCATTAACTATTAGTTCTTTTCATTAAAAAAAAATTGATGAAACAATATAAAATAGATTTTTGGTTGTTTGATTAATATCATATAATTTTTATTGGACATTTTCAATATAGTTATAGTTAGAGTAGGAAAACTTGACAGTTGTTTATAAAGGGTGTCCCAAAATTAACGCAAGATTTGAATTAAATAGAAAACACAGTTTTTATCACAATCACAAAATCACAATCTGAAGACTAAAAACTGTGTTTTTTATTTAATTTAAATCTTGCGTTAATTTTGGGACACCCTTTATATATCACTTTAAAAGTACACGATCGGTAAATGTATACATTTCACGATAAATATATACATTTACCGATATTGTAAGTAAATGTAAGTATAAATCTGGCAGCAGCGTCATATATCTACTATTAACGGTAAATGTTTACATCTACCTACGTATATTGGTAAAAGTTGAAAATACTAAATACGAGATGCAATTGTTGTATATCAAGGTTAGGTTAGGTCACCAGCAAACAATGGGTTAGGTTCAAAATAATTATGTGTTTGTGTGATTAGTTTTTTTTTTTGGCGTGAAATAACTTATATATTTTACCACAGATTTTTATGGGAATGGCGTTAAAATACTAGAACTGTATTTACTGATTTAACCGAAATTTAAAAAAAAAATCTAGATAGTCTTTATAACAAGAACAAAAAATAGTATCTTTTGTGATTTCTATATCATCTTTTCTATGCTATAAGAAAAATTGTGCTCAAAAAATAGTTTGCTTTTAAGTAAATATTATATTACTCTATTTTAGACTTGCACGGATAATAAAATGTTGAGCCTAACAAAGTTAATTATTTGTACCGTGCAAGCAGAGTAGAACGTAATGCTCATACATTTTGTACATGCATAATGCAATTATAATATATATATTAAAATGAGAACGAACTTTACGTTTCACTGAAAGCAGATAGAAGGAGGAGGACTTTTGCGTTTAAGAACTTATTTAATAATCGGATGGAGCGGAGCAAAATCCCATCTGGAAGCTACTGCGTCCGGGAGCTTTAATGAGAATCCGGATTGGAATACATACGGGAGGAAAATTGAAGGAAAATGAAACACGGGACGAACAACAAAAGAAAAATTGTTGAATGCAATTTGAAAATTTGTAAATAACGCAACAGTTGGCTTTCCATGGTTCGCATTCGAAAATTCATTTAAACTTTTGCATGCTCATTACTATTCTCATTTTGCCAATATGGCAAACACGTAAAATCTAGTTTTATGCTATTCATTAAACATTTGCGTAATATCCGCAATGTTTACATCATATTTTATTGTTGTTGTGAAATTACCTGTTCATTTATTTATTTCTAACTACAAATATTTAATTACTTTATTTTAGATGTAATTAATTATACTCAGTAAAAGTAATTATCTAGAGGAAAGGTATTATATTCTTCATTTCATATATTCTTCAAATTGAGTCATTTTAAATTTATTTTGTTCCATTTTTACAAAGTAATACATAAAGTATTTGTTAAGAAAATGTACAATGTACAATGTAGATTTAGTAGTTTTTAACTTTTCAGATGTTCTATTTTTAGAATATTATCAAGTATATTTGTGGACAAAAAGTCTATTCGAACATATTTTGAAATATGTCCTCAATTTCTCATTGATCTGTGTTAAATATATCAAATAAATAATAATTTAGGAACACATAATTTATTGAAATTTAATTTTATAATTAATTGAATTGAATAATTAATTATTTATTTTTAATAATTATGTTTGCTTTCGTTAAACTGTTTGTGAAAGGAAATATTATATCCAATATGTTTCAAAAAAGTTGAATGTAAATATAATAAAATTGGAATTAGAAGAGGATCACTTTTGGAAGCTACAATCTAAGTATAATACAAAATAAACAAGTCGTGTCCATAATCGAATCTCCGAGCGGAGGAAATCTCTGTTTTGCGTTTCTTTCGCTTCGGAAATCAATATGTAATTTTCCGGTTTTAAAATTGGAACTCCCGCCCTCGTATGTTTTCAAACCAGCATCCTCAGCCTCCTCTTCCACCGATCACAGACTTTTCCATTTGCGACTTAATCTATACATAAAACTTGCCTTCACCAAACAACAGACAGTCTACAAATTTTAACTAAAATATAGGAATTGAACTGAATATAGGAATAACGGAAATATAGGAATTGGAATATAACTGAATTTTATTCAAAATATTATTAAGAAAAATCAAGAAGAATAACATATAATTAATTATGAATGTTCAGAATCATGGATTACATTTGAGAAAAAAATAATAGGAAATCATTAAATTATATTATATTTTATTTATTGGTATTAATCAATCAATTGAAAATAAATTTTATTGTCTGTATTTGTGTAATTGTATAATTTTATTTGATGCCAATATTGTGGTGATTTAAGTTTATGTTAATAGTCAATTTATTTTTTGTAGTTTTTTTTAAGTATGAACTTATTTTTATTATTTTTTAATTTATTGAAAAACATTGTATTATTTCATATTTTTATAGTCACATTCAGGTGTAACGATTTTCTATTATGGAGAAAAGTCCAGAAAAATAATTACAGAATATAAGAATTTACATAACCATAAATATATGAAATTGCGGGAGCATTTGCAGACCACGAAATGAAATGCGTTCGGAATATAAAAAAATAGAACTACTCGAATTTAATTATTTCTTTCGTACCAAACGAAATCTCGACATTGCTCGAGGAGATGAGCTTTCTAGGGAATACGAGCTGACATCCTCGCTGAATAAATAAAGCTCTTTGTAAGAACTGCATTTTATTAGGGCATGGACGCGTACCTAACGTTTTTCCCTCTTCGTGCTCGCATTCCTAATAACAATCACCGTTTTCCCCGTCTGCAATATGAAATACAGCGTATCTAATAATAAATCCAACGTGAATTAAAAGTCACGAGTTAGAGCTGGAGGGTGAAACGAGCACAAAATTAGGTCTCGACTTCAGGTTTATTATTATTAAGAAACTCTATTGCCGAGCAACATACAACAAAACAGAAAACGGAAAAAATAAGTAATATCACTTCAAATTGAAATAATGTATACGCGTATACTTAAAAGTTATGCGTGTAATGAAAAAACCGTAAATTAATGCTTTTATATGGGAATTTCGTTATAGAAAGATATATTAATAATTACAATTATCCTTCACTGTCCGATTAACGTACAATTATCCTTATATATTTACTTAAGTAAAAAAATAATTTCAGCGTGCGATGAACGTACATAGGCTTTGGTCATTTGTTTTAGAATTATGTATGTTAGTTGAGCTTTTAGTGCATTGATAATATTTACAGAAGTGTACGTTCCTATGAACGTCGAGTACGTAGATGCAAAATGAAAGACAGGTGTGTTATGAAACAAATAAATTATTGCTTTTCCATGGGAATACGGGTGGAAAGATTTTTTTCAATAGATAATAATAGTTGTGATCCTTATGTTTTCATTTTCATAAATAAGGAAATTCACCGTCTGAAAATGGCTGTGGTCATTTGTTTTCGAATTATCTACGTTACCTTAGCTTTTAATGTATTGATAATATTTAGAGAAGTGTACGTTCTTATGAACGTCGAGTACGCAGATGCAAAATAAAAGACTAAAGGAATATGGGTGGATTTTTTTTTCAATAGTTAATAATAGCTGTGATCCTTATGTTTTTATTTTCATAATTAAGGAAATTTACCGTCTGGAAATGCACATTGGTTGTGGTCATTTGTTTTCGAATTATGTACATTAGCTAAGTTTTTATTGTATTGATAATATTTAGAGAAGTGTACGTTCTTATTAACTTCGAGTACGCAGATGCAAAATAAAATACAAAGGGAATATAGATGGAAAGATTTTTTTCGATAGTTAATGATAGC